GAGGGTAGAGTGAGGGTAGAGTGAGGGTAGAGTGAGGGTAAAGTGAGGGTAGATGTGAGGGTAGAGCGAGGGTAGATTGAGGGTAAATGTGAGGGTAGAGTGAGGGTAGAGTGAGGGTAGAGTGAGGGTAAATGTGAGGATAGGGTGAGGGTATATGTGAAATGAAGTGGGGGTAATGTGTGATAAAGGGTAAATGTGTAATAGAATGAGGGTAATTATGAGGGTAAGCGAGGGTAAAGTGTGGGTAAATGGCAAGGAGCTAAGGACACACACAGAAAAACAAATGGATCATATTGGATTAGAGACAAACTTTTATACCCACTGCGTCGAGCAGAGAGCCGCGTAGCACTGATACGCTGTGTAAACTGGGTCAGAATGACCCACAATGAAATGACTTCAAAAAAGTGCATCAAAAGGCAGAGGCACAAAGTGCATCAGAATAGGCCACAAAGTTTCTTTTAATAACACTTCAATTGAAATCTTTGAATAAAAATAACGTTGAACAAATGACGTAAATTCAACGTAAACTAACGTAAAATAACGTTGAACAAATGACGCAAATTCAACGTAAACTAACGTAAAATAACGTTGAACAAATGACGCAAATTCAACGTAAACTAACATACAATAAATGACGTAATTTCAAGGTAAACTAACGTAAAATAACCTCTAGTAATCGAGATAATTTAAACGTAAACTAACGTAATATAACGTATAATAAACAAGGTAAAGTAACGTACCATCTCGACGACGTCGACGTCAGCGTCTATCCTGAGGTGGTAGAGGAACGTCTTCAGGTCCTGCTTCATCTGGATGCTGTTGTCCTCCAGCTGCGCTACCGTGAAGATGCGCAGCTTGCAGTTCTTCCACACCTTAGGTAATTATGCTTAATTAATTGGTTAATTAGTCTCAAATAATTAATTAATTAGTCATAATTAATTAATTAATTATTCTTAATTAATTAAGTAATTAGTCTCAATTAACTAAATTATTAGTCATAATTAATTAGTTAATTAGTCATAATTAATTAATTAATTATTCTTAATTAATTAAGTAATTAGTCTCAATTAATTAAGTAATTAGTCATAATTAATTACTTCCAAACCTTTATTACAATTAGGCCTAATTAATTAATTAATTAGTCACAATCTTCTAAACCTTCAGTAATTAGTCCCAATTAATTAAGTAATTAGTCACAATTAATTATTTAGAAATTTGTTTTAAAACTACCATAAACCTTAATCAACACACAATTAGTCAAAATTAATTAATTGATTAGTCAGTAATTAGTCTCAATTAAATGATTAGTAATTAGTGGAAAACAGTTACCGATAATTGTTTCAATTATCATTGGAAATTATTTTAAAAATTACAAAATTAATTAAATTATTATTAAAAATTAATAAAAATTAAAAAATTGGCACAGCCCACGGTCACGCTGATGCACCACCTTCGTCACCAATCACATTACAAGTTATTCAATCAATAATTATTAATGATTTAAACTAATTAAACAGAATTAAAATAAATCTTTAAGGCGGTAAGTTCCCACAATAGAGAAAAATTTTGGCAATAGAGAAAAATAAAAAAAAATGCAATAGAGAAATAATTTGGGCACCGGTCATAGCCATGCTGATGCACCACCTTCGACGCCTATCATGCGCTACAGTGGCTGCTTGCATTGAATTAATAATTATAGAAATATTGATCAATCAATCAATAATAATTATAGATCAATCATATATTGATCAATCATATTAATCAATAATAATTATAGATCAATCGTATATTGATCAATCATAATAATTATAGAAATATTGATCAATCATATTGATCAATCAATCAATAATAATTATAGGTCAATCATATATTGATCAATCATAATAATTATAGAAATATAGATCAATCAATCAATCATATTGATCAATCAATCAATAATAATTATAGATCAATCATATATTGATCAATCATAGTAATTATAGAAATATTGATCAATCAATCAATCATATTGATCATACTCATTGATTGATTGTATGTTTCTTCATATCTTAATATCACAGGAATGCATAATTAAATAGAAGTATTTCTAGGATACATAATATTTCGGTGCATAATTTGATAGTATATATAAATTTTAACGGCCTAATTTTAAATTATCCATAAATTTTATAATGACTTAATTCTAAAGGCCAGATATAATTCCAAATTAATTATTAATTTAATAATTGTCTAAATTTTAGACAATATACAAAGGGCTAAACACATGTAATTTTATAGGTTAATTTTAGACAATATACAAAGGGCTAAACACATGTAATTTTATGGGTTAATTTTAGACAATATACAAAGGGCTAAACACATGTAATTTTATAGGTTAATTAATTATTAATTATAAAAAATGTTAATTTTATTTTTAATATTAGTGTAGTTAGGCAGAAGTTCTTCATATATACAGGTTTGATTTTTAAATATACAAAATTTTATTATTATTTATACAAAAATGTATAAATAATATTATATATTATTTATACATTTTATAAATATAAATTAATTATAAAAATGTTAAAAATATACAAAAGAAATACCTTATGCTGGCGCAGCAGGAAGGGCAGCAGCATGAGCAGCCCGCCGTCGTGCACGATCCACCAGATGTCGATAGTGCCCGCGACCTGGGTAGTGACAGTCACTAGTTACGGCCACTAGTTAGTGGAGGGTATTCTTAGTAGTTACTTGCATGTATTAGTGCCCGCGACCTGTAGTGACGGTCACTAGTTACGGCCACTAGTTAGTGGAGGATAATGTTAGTAGTTACTTGCATGTATTAGTGCCCGTGACCTGGGTAGTGACGGTCACTAGTTAGTGGAGGGTATTGTTGGTAGTTACTGGTATTAGTGCCCGCGACCTGGGTAGTGACGGTCACTAGTTACGGTCACTAGTTAGTGGAAGATATTGTTGGTAGTTACTTGTATTAGTTCCCGCGACCTGAGTAGTGACGGTCACTAGTTACGGCCACTAGTTAGTGGAGGGTATTCTTAGTAGTTACTTGCATGTATTAGTGCCCGCGACCTGTAGTGACGGTCACTAGTTACGGCCACTAGTTAGTGGAGGATAATGTTAGTAGTTACTTGCATGTATTAGTGCCCGTGACCTGGGTAGTGACGGTCACTAGTTAGTGGAGGGTATTGTTGGTAGTTACTGGTATTAGTGCCCGCGACCTGGGTAGTGACGGTCACTAGTTACGGTCACTAGTTAGTGGAAGATATTGTTGGTAGTTACTTGTATTAGTTCCCGCGACCTGAGTAGTGACGGTCACTAGTTACGGCCACTAGTTAGTGGAGGATATTGTTAGTAGGTACTATTAGTGCCGGTCACTAGTTACGGCCACTAGTTAGTGGAGGATATTGATAGTGCCCGCGACCTGAGTAGTGACGGTCACTAGTTACGGTCACTAGTTAGTGGAGGATATTGTTAGTGCCCGTGACCTGAGTAGTGACAGTCACTAGTTACGGCCACTAGTTAGTGGAGGATAATGTTAGTAGTTACTTGTATTAGTGCCCGCGACCTGGATAGTGACGGTCACTAGTTACGGTCACTAGTTAGTGGAGTGTATTGTTAGTGCCCGTGACCTGAGTAGTGACGGTCACTAGTTACGGTCACTAGTTAGTGGAGGATATTTTTAGGAGTTACTTGTATTAGTGATGGTCACTAGTTACGGTCACTAGTTAGTGGAGGGTATTTTTAGGAGTTACTTGTATTAGTGACGGTCACTAGTTACGGTCACTAGTTAGTGGAGCATATTGTTAGTGCCCGCGACCTGAGTAGTGACGGTCACTAGTTACGGCCACTAGTTAGTGGAGGATATTGTTAGTGGGTTACTTGTATTAGTGCCGGAAACATGCGCAGTGGCAACCACTATCCTAACAAAATTTCAATGCGGGCGCAACTCTGCATCAGGCGCCGCCCAGGGCCCATACTTTCAAAAAAAGTTAAGAGAAATCACAAGTGTATTACGATCACAAGTGTATTACGATCACAAGTGTATTACGATCACAAGTGTATTACGATCACAAGTGTATTATGAGAGTATGACAAGGGTTGGCCGAGAGGAGTCATATATATATACCGAGCTAGCAAGCTGCCCTTCAGGCGCGGCCGAAGCTGATATTAGCGGCCGATTTATGCGCGGCCCCCACTAGCTAGTGGCGGCCAGTAGCTGCTGGCTGCCACTAATCACCTTCTGGCCAGTAGCTACTGGCGGCCACTAGCTACTGGCTGCCACTAATCACCTTCTGGCCACTAGTTACTGGCGGCCACTAGCTACTGGCTGCCACTAATCACCTTCTGGCCAGTAGTTACTGGCGGCCACTAGCTACTGGCTGCCACTAATCACCTTCTGGCCAGTAGTTACTGGCGGCCACTAGCTACTGGCTGCCACTAATCACCTTCTGGCCAGTAGTTACTGGCGGCCACTAGCTACTGGCTGCCACTANAAAGGGGGGTTAACAGTGTTGGGCTTCATGCCCCCCAGCCCACACGTCTGGATCCTGGGGGGTTAAATGTGGGGTTAAGTGTTGGGCTTCATGCCCCCCAGCCCGCACGTCTGGATCCTGGGGGGGTTAAATCAGGGGGTTAAATGGGGGGCTTCATCCCCCCAGCCCACACGTCTGGATCCTGGGGGGGGTTAAATGAGGGGGTTAAGTGAGGGGGTTAAATGACGGGGTTAAATGGGTTAGATTATGTGCGAATAACCCCTAATCTTCCCATGAAAAGAAAGGAGTTGTCTCCATCCTCCCTCTCTTTCTGTCAATTTAACCCCACCTCTTAAACCCATAACCCGCCTTAACCCACAAATAACCCCTCTCAAACCATACAGGGTTAATGCTCACCGACATGTTGCTGGCGACCAAGGCCTTTAACCCCGCCTCTTACCCCGCTTAAGCTACTCCTTAATACTGCTTCTAACCCAAACCCTTAAACCCATAACCGTCTTTAAACCCCTTTAACCCACATATGGTTGATGCCGTCCGACACGTTGCTAGCGACTGCCCTTAACCCTCTTAAACCCAGCCCTTAACTACTCTTTAACCGCCCTTAACCCTCTTAACCCCAGCCCTTAACTACTCTTTAACCCCCTTAACCGCAGCCCTTAACCCTTTAACGCACACATGGTTGATGCCATCGGACCCGTTGCTTACGACTAAGGCCCTTAACCCCTTAACCCCAGCCCTTAACCCCTCAACACCAGCCCTTAACCCCTTAACGCACACATGGTTGATGCCGTCGGACACGTTGCTGGCAACCAAGGCGTCCACGAAGCCCTTAAGTCTCTCCTCGTCCATGGCCTTCCTCAAGGAGTTCTTGGCGGCCTGGGCCTCGCCATAGGACTTGGTAAAGTCCCCTTCAAGGACCGCCACGGCGATGGTAAGTCCTTTACCGGCCTTAAGTTGGGACGCGAACGTGAACAGCTTCTTGTACTTCGGGACCAAGTCCTTGCTGAGCTTAATAAGGAGTAGGATCTGGGGACGCCAGTTCTTGGTGTGGGGGGGTCCTGGGGGACAGGAAATCGTAATCGTAATGATAACCGTAATCGTAATATATAATCATAATGATTTACTGTATAATCGTAATTATCGTAAATATGGTCGTGATGAAAATCGTAATCGTAATGATAACCGTAATCGTAATATATAATCATAATGATTTACTGTATAATCGTAATTAATTATCGTAAATATAATCGTAATGATAATCGTAATCGTAATGATAACCGTAATCGTAATGTATAATCGTAATGATTTAAGTGCTGTCAATCTTCGATACCATCGTTAAAGTAAAGACGGCTAGGCCGTTATCTTGCGTAAGGAAAGCTAGACATCTTAGAGGTAGATGTTCTATACGAAGTCGATTATAGCTAGTAGTCATGTTATCAAAAGGTTAAACTCTTTATTAATATGATTTTATTAGGTGATAATGCTTTAAAAGCTAACGTTTTAAAACCTAACAGTGCCTTTTGCTCTACTAATTGATTGTATTTGTGTTTCTGGATCTGAACTTCTTCTGGACTGAATTTTGTGAACTGACGATGGAGCTGGACTCCGAAACGTTTTCTCTTATAAAGATATGTTGAATTTTTGTGGTATTGTTTTTGCTTTTAAATTCCTACTTATAATGCTTCTCATTGTATGTGATAATGCTTTTAATCAATGTTCATTTGTCTAGGCTATTGACGAACTGGTATCGACTCACCGCTCGCGCGTTAGTTATCCTAGACAGTTATTCTATCTTATATCAACTTTCACTTATCTTTATGTGACCAAAGAATTATATTATTATTCTATTTTATTGTAATATACTATATTATTTATTTTTAGCATATTATTAGCCCATTTCTTGTACATTGTAAACGGGGTGTTGAGGTAAGCTCGTTTTAGCTGAGTTACCCCTCGCGGGAAAGTTGTGTGTGCTCAGTGGTACTGGGCTAGGGTGCATATGTTTCGACTCGAATTCAGGGAGAAAAATATCTGGGGCCATGCTTTCAAAAATGGCTAAGTGAACGTAAGTACTTACGCTCTATTTTCTTGTCTATGATTGGTGGATTTTGCTTGAAAGGCCGTCAATGATTGGCGGATGAACATAGGATCTCTTAACTTTTTTTGAAAGTGTACTGGGCTTCCAAGATAAAACCTCACCGTAGTTCTGGACATAACTCGCAAACAGTTCCACTAACGGACTAATAACGGCTCAGGTGGAGTTCTTGGTTAGTTCCAGTTGCTGGTATCGCTCTGGGCCTATACTTTCAAAAAAGTCAAGAGATCGTAAGTTCATCAGCCAATCATTGACGGCCTTTCAAGCAAAATCCACCAATCTTAGACAAGAAAATAGAGCGTAAGTACTTACGTTCACTTAGCGAATTTTGAAAGTATGGCCCCTGGGACGGCTAGTTCCAGTACAGAGCACTATGTAATTACACTAACTAAAGTCGGTCCTAAGTTTTTATACAAGATTAACACTTCTCGTGTTGTGGGGGCTAATAACCTCTGCACTCGAGGATATTTATCAGCCTTCTGGTATCTTTTCAGCAGTACCGTTCGCGCCTCCCGTGTCGTGTGAGTTAATACCTTCCACGCTCGAGAGTAATCGGAACTTTGCAGAGTGTTAGGGCTAGTAACCCTAGTCTCTGTGGCTGGTTGTTGGAATCTCGGTGCGCTAGTTCCCGTACCATTTGCTATCCATTTGTGTGATTCTTTGCAGTGTATTAGGGCTAGTACCCCTAGTCTCTGCGGCTGGTTGTTAGCATATCGGTGTGGCTAGTTCCCGTACCATTTGCTGTCCGTTTTTTGATTCGTTGCAGTGTATTAGGGCTAGAACCCCTAGTCACTGCGGCTGGTCGTTGGCATCTTAGTGCGGCTAGTTCCCGTACCATTTGCTGTCCGTTTTTGTGATTCTTGTCAGTGTATTAGGGCTAGAACCCCTAGTCTCTGCGGCTGGTTGTTGGCATCTCGGTGCGCTAGTTCCCGTACCATTTGCTGTCCGTTTTGTGTTACTCTCAGCTGTGTATTAGGGGCTCATACTCTAGTCCACCCATCCCACTCGCTCCATTCGACCCACTCGCTCCACTCGCCCCACTCATCCCGGTCGCCCCCACTCACCCCATTCGCCCCTCTCACCCCACACACCCCACTCGCCTCACACACCCCACTCACCCACACACCCCACTCGCCCCACTCACCCTCCTCCAGACGCAGTAGAGAGTAGCGGGCCGCTGAGAGGGCTAACCCCCTGATGCCGTCCCCCCACTCACCCCACTCGCCCCACTCACCCTCCTCCAGACGCAGTAGAGAGTAGCGGGCCGCTGAGAGGGCTAACCCCCTGATGCCGTCCCCCNACAGCCCTATGAACGACAGCGACCTGTAGCGGGGGACAGGGTAATTAGAACAGGTTAATTAGAACAGGTGATACATAGGGACAGCCCTATGAACGACAGCGACCTGTAGAGAGGGACAGGTTAATTAGAACAGGTGATACATAGGGACAGCCCTATGAACGACAGCGACCTGTAGGGAGGAACAGGTTAATTAGAACAATTTAGTTAACTATCATTACCCACTTATTGAAGAAATGAGTCATGTGACCCACTTTCCCAAGAAGTGAGTCTTATGTATCCACTTTCTCAAGAAGTGTGTCTTATGTACCCACTTTCCTAAGAAGTGAGTCTTACGTACCCACTTTCTCAAGAAGTGTGTCTTACGTACCCACTTTCTGAAGAAGTGTGTCTTACGTACCCACTTTCTGAAGAAGTGTGTCTTACGTACCCACTTTCTCAAGTGTGTCTTACGTACCCATTTTCTCAAGAAGTGTGTCTTACGTACCCACTTTCTCAAGAAGGGAGACCCTTGCGACATACTTTATCGAAAAGTGAGTCACATTCTGTCAAAAAAATGTTAAGGTACCCACTTTCTTGTGAAAGTGGGTCGTGTTTCCCCTCGAGAAAGTGGGTAACGTGACCCACTCACGTACCAGTGGTAGTACTTGAAGCGGGGGCGCCAGTTGGGGGTACGCAGTAGGGTCTGGAGGGCACAGGCGAGGTTGACGAAGCCGTAGCACATGAGGAAGAACATCGACAGCAGCGGGTTGATGTTGTCGATGTTGCCGATCAGGATGGCGATGAAACATATCACTGCAACATGCGGCATGTTGTATGTGGGGCATGGGGCATGTTTAAAGTGGGTCAAATATGGGGCATGTTGTATGTGAGTCATGGTACATGTGGAACATCGACAGCAGCGGGTTGATGTTGTCGATGTTGCCGATCAGGATGGCGATGAAACAGATCACTGCAACATGGGGTATGTTGTATGTGGGGCATGTTGTATGTGGGGTATGTTGTATGTGGGTCATGTTGTATGTGGGGCATGTTGTATGTGGGGCATGTTGTATGTGGGTCATGTTACATGTGGGGCATGTTGTATGTGGGGCATGTTGTATGTGGGGTATGTTGTATGTGGGGCATGTTGTATGTGGGTCATATGTGGGGCATGTTACATGTGGGGCATGTTGTATGTGGGGCATGTTGTATGTGGGGCATGATGGCGATGAAGCAGATCACTGCAACATGGGGCATGTTGTATGTGGGGCATGTTGTATGTGGGGCATGTTGTATGTGGGGCATGTTGTATGTGGGGCATGTTGTATGTGGGGCATGTTGTATGTGGGGCATGTTGTATGTGGGGCATGTTGTATGTGGGGCATGTTGTATGTGGGGCATGTTGTATGTGGGGCATGTTGTATGTGGGGCATGTTGTATGTGGGGCATGTTGTATGTGGGGCATGTTGTATGTGGGGCATGTTGTATGTGGGGCATGTTGTATGTGGGGCATGTTGTATGTGGGGCATGTTGTATGTGGGGCATGTTGTATGTGGGGCATGTTGTATGTGGGGCATGTTGTATGTGGGGCATGTTGTATGTGGGGCATGTTGTATGTGGGGCATGTTGTATGTGGGGCATGTTGTATGTGGGGCATGTTGTATGTGGGGCATGTTGTATGTGGGGCATGTTGTATGTGGGGCATGTTGTATGTGGGGCATGTTGTATGTGGGGCATGTTGTATGTGGGGCATGTTGTATGTGGGGCATGTTGTATGTGGGGCATGTTGTATGTGGGGCATGTTGTATGTGGGGCNACCCACTTGCAGTGAACATGAGGGCCCTAAAGGACCTCTTAAGGACCACTCAAGGACCCACTTGCAGTGAACATGAGGGCCCTAAAGGACCTCTCAAGGACCACTCAAGGACCCACTTGCAGTGAACATGAGGGCCCTAAAGGACCTCCTAAGGACCTCTTAAGGACCCACTTGCAGTGAACATGAGGGCCCTAAAGGGCTCGCCGCGTGCGGTGCTCTTAGCAAAGGGCGCCAGCACCGGTATGATGCCGTCCTTAGCGATGGCCTGCAGGAGGCGCGGCGCCCCCGTGAGGGACTGCATGCCCGCCCCGATGGTGGACAGCAGGGATCCTATCAGGATGACCCACTTGTTGGGCCACGCGATGGACGCAATGGCCAACTGACCGCCCACGCTGTTCCCGAACCTGGTGGAGGACAGGAGCGTTAACATGGGTCAAGATGACACACTTGTTGGGCCACGCGATGGACGCGATGGCCAGTTGGCCGCCCACGCTGTTCCCGAACCTGACGGAGGACAGGGGCGTTAACGTGGGTCAGGATGACCCATTTGTTGGGCCACGCGATGGCCAACTGACCGCCCACGCTGTTCCCGAACCTGGTGGAGGACAGGGACGTTAACATGGGTCAGGATGACCCACTTGTTGGGCCACGCGATGGCCAACTGACCGCCCACGCTGTTCCCGAACCTGGCGGAGGACAGGGGCGTTAACATGAGTCAGGATAACCCACTTGTTGGGCCACGCGATAGACGCAATGGCCAACTGACCGCCCACGCTGTTCCCGAACCTGGCGGAGGACAGGGACGTTAACATGGGTCAGGATGACCCATTTGTTGGGCCACGCGATGGCCAACTGACCGCCCACGCTGTTCCCGAACCTGGTGGAGGACAGGGGCGTTAACATGGGTCAGGATGACACACTTGTTGGGCCACGCGAAAAGTAGATAGGAGAGGTAGACGGTAGACTCACTTGTCCCTGATGAGTAGACTGTCGTAGGTAGCAGCAAAGAAGAGTAGATAGGAGCAGTAGACGGTAGACTTACTTGTCCCTGATGAGTAGACTGTCGTAGGTGGCAGCAAAGAAGAGTAGATAGTAGCAGTAGACGGTAGACACTCACTTATCCCTTATGAGTAGACTGTCGTAGGTGGCAGCGAAGAAGAGTAGATAGTAGCAGTAGACGGTAGACACTCACTTATCCCTGATGAGTAGACTGTCGTAGGTGGCAGCAAAGAAGAGTAGATAGGAGCAGTAGACGGTAGACGTGACGGTGATGGCACACAGCGTCCCCACGGGGATGCTCTTCTGGGCGTCCGCTAGATCCCCGGACCTGTTGCTGCCCGCCATGATGCCTGGTAGATGGTAGATAAGGCGGGGTAGATAAAAGAGGGTAGATGGTAGATGAGGGGGTAGATGGTAGATGAGGGGGTAGATGGTGGGAGTGTAGAGGAGGAGGGAATACAAAGGAAGGGGTGCAAAAATAGCTGGGTAGATGGTAGATACGGAGGGGGGTCGATGGTAGAGAATGGGGTGTAGATGGTAGATGAGGCGGGGTAGATAAGGGGGTAGATAAGGCAGTGGAGAGAAGATGGGGAGTGGTAGATAAGGGAATTAGATAAGGAGTAGATGGATAATGGTAGATGGTAGATAAAGCAGGGTAGATGGTAGATAAAAGGGTGTAGATGGTAGATATGGCGGGGTAGATAATGGGGAGTGGATAGATAAGGGGGATAAATAGAAGGAGGTACATACATAGGAAGGAAGCTAGATGGTAGATAAGGGGGGTAGATGGTAGATAAGGCGGGGTAGATGGTAGATAAGGCGGGGTAGATGGTAGATAAGGCGAGGTAGATAATGAGAGTGGATGGATAAGAGGGATACATAGAAGGAGGTACATAAATAGGAAGGTAGATGGTAGATAAGGCGGGGTAGATAATGGGTAATGGATAGATAAGGGGGATACATAGAAGGAGGCACGTACATACTGTATATAGGAAGGAAGGTAGACGGTAGATAACGGGGAGTGGTAGATAAGAATATAAGAGGGGAGTGGTAGATAAGGGGATGTAGATGGTAAGTGTCTAGTTTCCCCAGACACCACTGACAAGGTAACCCTAGTTAACTAGTAACCCCAGATACCACTGAGTAACCCCAGATACCTCTGAGTATCACTCACTTAGTAACACCACTCCCCGGTAACCCCAGATACCACTAAGTAACCCCGGTAACCACCGGTACCCACTCCCTGGTAACCCCAGTTACCACTGAGTAACTCCAGATACCACTGACTCTGTAAAACCACTCCCTGGTAACCCCAGGTAACTAGTAACCCCAGTTACCACTAAGTAACCCCAGTTACCACAGTTACCACTGACCGGTAACGGAGGGGAAGAAGATGCCGACGAGGACGGTGAAGGAGGTGGTGATGTCGATGATGACCTGGTTGTAAGTGGGTCGGCCAAGTGGGTCATAGTCTTCCTGTAGGTCCGAGTCCGCCACGATCTGCCCCTTCTGCATGTAGTTCGGGCCCAGGTTCTCTGCGGGTAACCAGGGGGTAATCGTGAAGGTAATCGTGGGGGTAATCGTAGGGGTAACCGGGGGGTAATCGTGGTAATCGTTTGTCGGCAATCGGTTATTAAATACTGATGATACCTGTTACCATTCTGCATGTAGTTCGAGCCCAGGTTCTCTGCGGGTAACCGTAGGGGTAATCGTAGGGGTAATCGCGGTAATCGGTTATTAAACCCTGATGTAAGCCCTGATGATACCTATTAATATTCTGCATGTAGTTCGGGCCCAGGTTCTCTGCGGGTATCCAGGGTAACCGTGAAGGTAATCGTGGTAATATTTGTCGGTAATCGGTTATTAAATAGTGATGATACCCATTAGCATTCTGCATGTAGTTCGGGCCCAGGTTCTCTATGGGTAATCGGGGTAACCGTGAAGGTACCGTGGTAATCGTTTGTCGGTAATCGGTTATACGAATCCTGATGATACCCATTAACATTCTGCATGCAATCATTGTACTACGACTGAACTCAAGTACAAGTCCTAGACCCCTCAAGACCCCTGAGACCCCACAGGACGCCAAAACCCCTGAGACCCACAAAACCCCTGAGACCCAAGACCCCAAGACTCCTGAGACCTTACAGTACCCCTGAGACCCCACAGGACCCCAAGACCCCACATGACGCCAAACGCCAAGACCACTGAGACTCTACAGGCCGCCAAGACCCCATTGGACCCCAACACCCCTGAGACCCATAAGACGCCAAGACCTTTTAAGACCCCAAGACCACAAGACTCACCCATAAAGACCCCGGACGACAGCCCCAGGATACTGCGGCGCAGCTGTAGGTCGTGGGCAACGAAGTACTCGTCGCAGTCTGTGATGTTCTCGGAGTACTGCCCCGGCTCGTCCCCTACGGACCCCAGCTCACCCCTCAAGACCCCAAGACTCACCCATGAAGACCCCAGACGACAGCCCCAGGATACTGCGCCGCAGCTGTAGGTCGTGAGCAACGAAGTACTCGTCGCAGTCTGTGATGTTCTCGGAGTACTGCCCCGGCTCGTCCCCTGTGGCGCAGTACATCCTCCAGAGGGCGTTACCGACGCCCTTGCTGCAGTTGCCGTCTTTGGGCTCAGCTAACAGACGGGGGCCCAGCGTGCACATCCTGTCAGGTAGACGGTAGGGTATGAACAGGCTCTGTCAAATAGAAGCAGGGCCTGTCAAATAGACGGTTGGGTATGAGCAGGCTCTGTCAAATGGACGGTTGGGTATAAGCAGGGTCTGTCAAATGGACGGTTGGGTATGAGCAGGCTCTGTCAAATGGACGGTTGGGTATGAGCAGGCTCTGTCAAATGGACGGTTGGGTGTGAGCAGGCTCTGTCAAATGGACGGTTGGGTATAAGCAGGCTCTGTCAAATGGACGGTTACCCAACACATCCCGACACGCCACAACACATCCCGACACGCCACAACACATCCCAACACGTCCCAACACATCCCGACACGCCCCAACACGTCCAGACACGCCCCAACACATCCCGCCACATCTCAACACATCCCGCCACATCTCAACACATCCCGCCACATCCCAACACGCCCCAACACATCCCGACAGACCCCCGACACATCCCGACACGCCCCAACACATCCCGACACGTCCCAACACATCCCGACACGCCCCAACACGTCCCAACACATCCCGACACGCCCCATCACGTCCCGACACTCCCCAACACATTCCGTCGCGCCCCGACACATCCCGACACGTCCCGTCACGCCCCAACACATCCCGACACGCCCCAACACATCCCGATACGCCCCAACACATCCCGACACGCCCCACCACATCCTGACACGCCCCAACACATCCCGACAGACCCCCGACAGGCCCCAAGACGTCTCGACACGACCCAAAAAATTCCGACACGTCCCGACACGCCCCAACACATCCCGACACGCCCCGACACGCCCCAACACATCCCGACAGACCCTCGACAGGCCCCAGCACGTCCCAACACGTCCTAACACATCCCGACACGCACCAACAAATCCCGACAGACCCCCGACAGGCCCCAACACATCCCGACACGCCCCAACACATCCCGACATGTCCCGACACATCCCGCCTCACATGAGGTCGTCGGAGCCGTTGATGTTGACGAAGATGCCGACGAGGATGAAGAATATCGAGCCGATGACGCAGGCGAGGGCCACGGAGGCGAACTTGCTGACGAAGGCGACGCCGATGCTGACGATGACCACGAGGATCACGAGGAGACATGAGCCGAACACGCGGAAGTTGTTGTACATAATGTTGACGTCCTTCGTGAAGTCCCCGAATATGGACATGCCGGGGGCGATGTACGTCTGCGGGTGAGGGGAGACATTATTTTTATGGGTGTGCGGAGGGCGATGTACGTCTGCGGGTGAGGGGGAGACATTATTTTTGTGGGTCTGCGGTGGAGGAGACATTTTTTTTGTGGGCCTGCGGAGGGAGGTATATCGGAGGGAGGTATATGCGGGTCTGCGGAGGGTCTGTGGAGGGAAGTATAGGTGGGAGGTGTAGGTCTGCAGAGGTGTAAGTCTTCGAATATGGACATGCCGGGGGCGATGTACGTCTGCGGGTGGAGGGGAGACATTATTTTTGTATGTCTGCGGTGGAGGGGAGACATTATTTTTGTACGTCTGCGGTGGAGGGGGAGACATTATTTTTGTACGTCTGCGGTGGAGGGGAGACATTATTTTTGTACGTCTGCGGTGGAGGGGGAGACATTATTTTTGTACGTCTGCGGGTGAAGGGAGACATTATTTTTGTACGTCTGCGGAGGGAGGTGTATGGGGAGGTTCTGCATCAGGGGGGACGGGAAAGAAGGGGAAAAATTCAAGAATGTATGTATGGTGACCCAGCGTGGCCTGGGGCTGTTACATACGGGAAAAATTTTCTTAAAATAATTACGTACTCTAGAGTTGGACCTGTCGTGGGGCGTGCCAATTATGATTTATTTATTTATTATCACTCATTTATTACCATATATCTATTATCATTTATTTATTCATTCATTTATTATCACATATTTATTTATCTATATAATTTTCATGTATTTATTTATTTATCATTATCATTTAATTATTTATTTATATCAGTATCATTTATTTTCATCATATTCATCATTTATTCATCACTATCAGTATCCAAATGATGACAATGATGAACAAGACTCACTATGAGTATCTCGATGGCCCCGATGATGTACATGGCTATCTACTTATTTCTATTATTATCATTTATTTATTTATATCAGTATCCCTTATCTTATCATATTCATCATTTATTCATCATTATCATCATCAAATAGTGACAATAATGAACAAGACTCACTATAAGTATCTCGATGGCCCCGATGATGTACATGGCGGCGGCCACGGTGGTCCCGGTGTAGAAGAGGAGGCCCACGGCCCCCCCGAACTCGGGCCCCAGGGACCGCGACACCATGAAGTAGGACCCGCCCGCCGGGACCACCCCGTTGGTGGCTATGGCTGACATGGAGACCCCCGTCAGGAATGTCTGCGGGGGACGGGGGGTTATAGGGGTTATAAGGGGTAGGGGGGTTAAGGGGGGGTGTATGGGGTTATGGGGTAATTTTTTTATGAGAGGGAATAGCGATTTTTTATGGGGGAGGAGGGTTCTCGGAGTAACCCCCAGGGACCCAGGGCTTACCTGGAGGGGTTATGGGGGTAATTTTTTATGGGGGGGAGGAGGGGTTTAATGGAGAGGTTTAAGGGGGCGAGGTAGGGGGTTATGGGGGGTAATTTTTTATGAAGAGGGGTGAGAAGGAGTTAAAAAAATTATGGGGCGAAGAATGAAGTATTTGGAGGAAGGTTATTGGGTACATCGGAGAAAGGGGGGAGGGATTATTGGGGGTGATGGAGTGATTAAAAAATAAACTGAGGCGTAATTAAAGGCTTGAACATAGTCCCTATAACCCAACCACGAGGGCCCCACATGTCCACCACGAGGGCCCCACATGTCCCCATCATGTGGCCCGGGACTCACTGTACAGCAGCACATGAAGACCAGCATGAAGGCGTTCAGGGCCCCAGCGGTGCCCACTATCCAGGGCATGCGGATGAAGAGGATCACGCCGAAGATGTTCTGGATGCAGGGCAGGAATACGCCCATGACCGTGCCCAGTCGCGCCGATGCCTGGGGGTGGGTACATGTTATATTATGTTATATTGTATTATATTAGGTTATATAATGTAATGTTATGTTATATTACGTTATGTTATATTATATACCATGTTATTAATGCCCCCATGACCGTGCCCAGCTGATGCCTGAGGGTACATTATGTTATGTCATATTGTATTATATTATATAATATATAATGTTATATTATTATATTACGTAAAATATCATATTTTATTATATCATATAATGTTATGTTATATTTATAGTATATCGTATCATTTAATATTACAATATAATGAAATACATCACACTACACTAATACTATAATAATTAATGAAACTAACGCCCGGCAGCGGCCCATTCATCTGCCGGCTGCCAGCCTGGCAGGATTTAAGCGCCAGCCTCGCGTTGCCATGGAAACTGAATACATTTTTCTCCATGAATATTTAAGCTGTAGCCATGAATTCGGATTTACTGCCCCCCGCCCCTCCCCTGAGGGGTCCAAGCCCCCTCTAGGAGGGTTGGGGGTTTCGGGCTGATAACCCTTTAATTTAGAAATAAGCTGTGGGTAAGAAAGTGTGTTAATATTTGGATAATATTGACCCATTTATGATCATGAGTGCGGAAGTTGTGGGGGTTGGGGGTTTAGCGTCGGGGTCCTGGGGGTTACCTG